ATAAACAACTAGTTCAAAACTTTGACACTATTATTAAGCCGAGTGTCCCAATCCATTCATAATCGTATAAAAGTCAAGTCCCAACTTTTCGAAGTGCGGCTACACTTCACGATCATATAGGTAATTCCTTTAATCATGTACCTGCTTACATTTTAACAAAGGAATTATTAAGAATATATATTCAACCCTTTTACTACAGGTCCGAACACACTAACCTGGGATGACAAAATGCATGTGTTCCATTCCTTAAGTATGAGCTTTCCTCATTGAATTCAACCTCTAATATTATATTAGAGGGGAATTGGGTGTCTCATCATTATGGAATTAAATGGACTTTAAACTCATCCCAATCGCAGACTTGTGCACTAAGTCCCTGGCCAGACCTTTAGTTAAATGATCTGCCAAATTCTGTTGTGATTTCACATACTCAACAGAAATGACACCCTTCATGATTAAGTCCCTAATCATATTGTGTCTAACACCTAAGTGTCTAGACTTCCCATTATACACTTGGCTATAGGCCTTAGCCAACGTGGCAGCACTATCACAACGAATAGAAATGGGTGCAATTGGCTTTGTCCATAATGGAATCTCAAAAACCAAATCCCTTAGCCATTCTGCCTCTTTACCGGCAGCAGCTAAAGCAACAAATTCAGACTCCATTGTTGAATTTGTAATGCAAGTTTGCTTCTTAGAGGCCCAAGAAATGGCACCTCCCCCAAGCAAGAATACCCAACCACTTGTAGAAGAATGATCTTCTAGGTGATTTATCCAGCTTGCATCAGTATATCCTTCTAGAACCGAGGGATATCCAAGATAACATATTCCATAATCCATGGTTCCTTTTAAGTATTTGAATACTCTCTGAATTGCTTGCCAATGTTGAGTACTAGGATTGTTAGTATACCGACTCAACCTCCCAACCGCGTAGGCGATATCCGGACGAGTGCTTGTCATGGCATACATCAAGCGTCATATAGCTTGAGAGTATTCTAATTGTGATATTGCCTTGCCTTTGTTTGACATTAATTTGACACTAGGGTCCATGGGAGTACTCACGAGAGAACATTCACTATAATTAAATTTCTTGAGAATTTTCTCAACATAGTGTGCTTGCGTCATAGCAATTCCTTTGTTCAACCGCTTAATCCTAATACCAAGGATTACATCAGCCTCCCCCATATCTTTCATGGAAAACCTTGATGACAATAAACTTTTCGTTTCATCAACTTGAAGTTGATCAGTGCCAAAAATCAGCATGTCATCAACATATAGGCAAATGATCACACCACACCCGGTTGAATCAAACCGACTGTAAACACATTTATCAGATTGGTTTAGCTTAAAACCACTTGATAAAATAACTTCATCAAACTTTTGATGCCATTGTTTTGGTGCTTGTTTCAGACCATACAAAGATTTGACAAGCTTACACACTTTATGCTCATTACCGGGCATAACAAAACCTTCTGGTTGGTTCATGTAAATTTCCTCATCAAGCTCTCCATTTAAGAAGGCTGTTTTGACATCCATTTGATGGACAACCAGATTGTGGATGGCTGCCAAAGCAACCAACAATCTAATGGTAGATATCCGGGCCACTGGTGCATATGTGTCAAAATAATCAATACCTGGTTTTTGTTTAAACCCTTGTATTACCAAACGTGCTTTGAACTTATCTATAGTTCCATCTACCTTCATCTTCTTTTTGAAGATCCATTTGCAACCCAAAGGTTTAGAACCTGGTGGCAAATCACATAGCACCCATGTATTGTTTTCTAAAATTGATGATAATTCATCATCAATTGCCTCTTTCCAAAAGGTCACATCTCGGGATTCCATGGCCTCTTTAAAGGTCTTTGGATCTCCTTCAATACTGTAACAATACGAGTATTGAAATCCAACCTCATCCCTTGATCTTTCCACCAAATACAGCTGGAAATCGGAGCCAAAATTTTTAGCAATTCGAGCCTGTTTGCTCCTCCTGACCTCTTGGGGTTCCGGATCTGATATACCTTCTAAAGTTTCTGAAATTTGTCCTTCATTACTGTTAGAAATCAGATCCTTAGGCCTTGGGATTGATGAAAAACGCATTTCATCAAAAAAGTCATCTATGTTGGAGTGACGATCTCTACACATATGACTTGTGGGGCAATTATTTGAATGGGATCCACTTCCTGAATGCGTATTTTCTCCTGAAGCAGTCCCCGAGGCAGATCCAAAATGTCATCACAGTGGAATATCAAATTTGATCAGATGGAGCGTCGGCCAGCCAAGGAAAAGAAAGAAAGAAAGGACAACCAATCCACACTAGGAAGGCAGCAACACATGCTTGTGGACTATCAAAGAAAAGAACAAAAAGGGGGCAGCTCGTAGCAATCAAGGAGGTCGGTAGTAGGAGAAAAAAGGATGGAGCTGGAAAAAAATCATCCGCCATCACTCAGCCGCAAGTAGCTCCGGGCAGAAAAAAAATCCGAGCTACTAGGAAGAAGAACCGAGCTCAAAATACTCTGGTTAATCTGTTGTTATCTTTCAATTTTAATCATAATTTCATGCTTAGATTCAAATTTCAATAAGCTTTCAGTTTTAATGACTGTATTATTTCATACTCTGAATTTCTGTTTACTTGGATAATTGAGATGTTAATGATGTTTATTTACTGTTTAGTTTCATCTACAAATTACTCTAGCTGTTTTATTAATAGTGTTAGTTTCATGATAATTGTGTTAGACTAAATTTCCATGGGGTTTAGATTTGGATAGAATTTAGGTTAATGAGTGTTCTTGAATATTGAATTGAATTTGGGAAAATTCTCCAATTTCTAGGAGTAGTTGTTTGACATGAAATTGAAAGAGTAATTTGTGAAATTGATCACTTCACTTGTAAATTTTTTTGGAAGATTAATTCTTTCTTGTCTATGAGTTTGGAATTAATTTAACTCACATCTCAGACACCTTAAACAAAGCCTAGAAATATGACATGTTAGGGGACTTAAAATTAAATTCTTGTCTATGAGAATTAATGTCACTATTCTTAGATCGGAGAAATTATCCCATTTTTTTTATTTAAAATTAAGACATCCAAAATCCTTAATCCCAAATCTAGACCTCACTTTTAATTAGTTAATTTTATCGTTGCTAGTCACGTTGAATTTGCCTTTGAGTATGTTATATTTGAAACTTTACACATCCACATGTTTGCTAGTTTAATATTTTAATAAGTTAATATTCTCTCTCAAGTTATTTTGCATGTTCACTAGTTTTAGTTTACTCATTAATGCCATTTAATTAAATTATCCGTTAGTACTTTTGTTTAATTTTATTTGCTTAATCATTATCACAAATAATCGTTGAGAAAGCTTGCAACGACTCGTACTAACCGGTGACCGTTATTGAACCAACACTTCCCTCCGTCACTCCTCAGAGACACGATACTCGGGGAAAATCCGAAAGGTTAGACTCCATTTTACTATAACACCGTGAAAGCGGTTATCAAAAAACAGAAGAAAACGCATATTAGAAAAATTAATAAGTCAATCTAGTGGACTAGAGTCTTCAACAATGAAATGTTGGACATAGACGCATATAGGCTTGGGCATGATCGTCTTGGTCACCCCGGTCGTGACATGATGATTCGTATTTTCAAAAATTCACATGGACACCCTTTCTTTCGAGAAAGGAATAAAGAAGGGCGAAAATCAATACAGTACAAACTGTTAACCATGCGGCTCCTCCACAAGGACAATTATCTTCTAAAGCACAAGAAGAACTAGTTCATGCTTCCCTAACTATGTCCACACTACAAAACTCATTATGCAAAGCCTGCTCCTTAGCAAAAACAGGATCGAGACCATCCTATGCTAAAGACACAAAACAAAACATCTCATTCTTACAAAGAATTCAAGGAGACATATGTGGACCGATCCATCCAGAATGCGGACCATTTAGATACTTTATGGTATTGGTGGACGCATCGACCCGTTGGTCGCATATTACCTTATTGTCCACAAGAAATGCAGCATTTTCGAAACTTCTAGCACAAATAATTCGCTTAAGGGCTCACCACCCCGACCATCCTATAAAGTCCATCAGACTTGATAACGCTAGAGAGTTTACATCAAAGACATTTGATGACTATTGCATGTCTATCGGGATCAACATAGAGCATGTTGTTCCCCATGTACACACACAAAATGGTCTTACAGAAGCTACTATTAAAAGATTACAAACGATAGCTAAGACATTGGTTATGCGCACCAACTTGCCTATATCTGCATGGGGATATGCAATATTACATGCAGTCTTACTTATTCGCTTTAGACCCACTGCGAACCAACCATTTTATGCGTACCAGTTGGTAACTGGATATGAGCCTGACTATTTCACACTTACGCATATTTAGTTCTACAGTCTATGTGCCAATTGCGCCACCACAGCGCACCAAAATGGGTCCTCAAAGGCGATTAGGTATATATGGTGGATACGAATCCCCAACGATAATCCGCTATCTAGAACCTTTGACAGGCGATCTTTTCACCGCAAGATTTGCGGATTGTCACTTTGATGAGATAACATTCCCATCATTAGGGGGGGGATAAGAAAAAGTATTTTCACGAAGAACAACGTGATCTATCCTGTTGTGTTCCTACACTGTCTCATTTTGATCCCCGCACCTCACACTGTGAAGTGAAAAGAATAATAGACCTACAAAATGTAGCAGACTCAATGCCTGATGCATTTTCTGAAATCGTAAAAGTGACAAGATCACACATACCAACTGCAAATGTGCCTGCAAGGTTAGAAGCCCCCAAGGCCCAAGGGAGGGCACAATGTCATAGTAGGAGGCACTGCAACCACACTTAGCGGAAGTGTGGTTGAGGCTGTGGTTCCTTAAAGGCAGAGAGGAAGGCCACTTGGTTCGATTGATACTCGTCCAAGGAAGAAGAGGATGCGTACAACACAAGCTAATCCATTAATCATCAATGAACAACATTCATCCCATGAATATTTAAAGAGATCGGTAGGCGAATGTATTAAAGATTTAAAGTCAGTTGTTAGGTTTATTAATAATAATTCCAATAGAAGAGGTTAGAACTGATATACACTTGTGCCTTCAACCAAAAAAATACAGATCGGGCTGTGAATGCCTACAGACACAAACTGATGACCTAAAGGGCCAGCATACGAACCTTTATCAACACACCTGATGTGTCGCCTCTCATGAAACCTAAAAAACTCAAAAAAGGAAAACTTGATAGGGCCCCAGTTTCCTCTCTTTCTTCTTGAGTCGGGCCCAACTTGGCCCTTAAAACTTTGAAAAATTATATTCAGAAGTTCATGTAGCAACTTGATTTAATGCAACGTCAACCAGCTGTGATGCAACAGCAGGAGTTGCAGCTTCCACCACTGCCGGCACTGTGGTGGTAGCCGCTTGCACTACCGCTGTGGTTGCAGTGGTTGCCACTTCCACCACGGCAGGAAAGGCAGATGGTTGTTGGGAATGTGTAGTATAGTGAAATTCAATCTGAAGCCGGTGATGCAGTGGCACTGGTATCATTAGACCTCTATTGATGTCTTCCTGCAGCTCTCTAATTGGAATTGCAGCCAGAAAGTCCTTTATATAGTGTTTACATGTCTCTTTCCCTTCACAAATAATCACTTTTGGATCAATCTCCATCCGCGGCTCCTCCTGACCGAAAACTCCATCTAACATGACACTTGGCATTTTGTAGATAACTGAGTTCTTGTCGAACTTTAGTATGTAAGCCTGGTTGCAACCTGTCAAAGTACAAGTAATATGTTAAAGAATAATAATAAAAACTGTAAGGTCTTATCCCATTCCACTATCGGTATGCTATTTTCCTACATAAGTGATGTTTAAGATTTTGAAAAAAATGCAGACACTGAGAGGGTGTACTTGAATGCAACTGCAAGTATAAAGAAAAAGTAATATGAGTAAAGGTAGAAGTTTGTGGTTCAACATTACCTTCCCAAAGCCGCTCCCCCAAGGTATCAATTATGAAATAAGCTTCGGGTTCAGCTTTTAAGACGAAAAAGTGGTCATTCCAACTAACAATATAAACTTGGGTTTCCAACGTTTTATTGTCGCAACTAATCTCATCCCAGATGTTGTCGAAAGACAGTGCACCCTGCAAAAAGTCGAAACTACCCTTGTCGTCCACCATATCTGGGTGGAAAAACCCGACAAATGATTTTGCAGGAATGACAGAAAAGGAACGGGTTTTGGTGGCTCGCAGGACAGTGTCAAGGTCAAAGTGCTTATCCGGGAAACTTTCCAGATAGGTTTCTTCGTCCTGACAGAGAGTTCTCCATTCAGAAGAGCCCTCTTTGATCAAACTGTCAAACTGTGACTTTACCGGCATGAGGTCACGGTTTTTGTGCAACCAATCAGCAATAACGGTGACAAGAGATGTGCATGCACTTTCCCCGGAAGCCTGCTCGCTTCTTTGGTCAATGGAAGCAAAGAAGATTTGGGATTGAAGCATCGCGTGCCCGTCCCGACTCATTACTTGTTTTTGTTCCCAAGTTCCAACGGCAAAATTGTCATCGCAGAATCCTGATATTGAAGGTCGGGGTCCACCAATTTCTTCTTCCTCTGTTCTGTGCCACTGCAAAATAGGACCACACCAACTAACTCTTTAAAGAGATACTCTGGATCAACTGTGGTGTCATTTGGTAAAATTGTGTTTGTTCTTTTCCTTCTTTGTTTTCACATTTAATAACAAAGAATGAATTTCCTTTTCAATTTCAAAAACAGAAATAGAATTCATTAATTTTGGGAAAACATAAATTCACTGTTCTCAAACATGTGTTTCTCGTTCTTACACTATTTGTAAACCATTTAGATTTTTTATAGGTATCATATATTTTTATAATAAATAATTAAAAATAATATATATCTACCAAACATATTTATAGAGCATTTAGATTTTCCTTTAAAAAAATCATATACTTCATAACAAATACTTCGATTTAAATCATATATAAATACCTTTATCCACCAAACACATTTGTACATTTTAGAATTTAGAAAACAAATAAAATTTTGAGAACAAGGAGCATTACCCAAAGTGTGTTGAGACTGTTGAATATTGAAGAATCGAGGTTCTATCAGGTGGTCTTTTAAAACTCCAACTGATAGATTGCAGAATAATATAGTAGTATTAATGAGGAATTAATTCCACTTTTGGTCATATGAGTTTTGTGTCAATTCCACATTTAGCTCACGTCTTTCACTCAGTCCACTTTTAGTACTTGATTAATGTTTTTTGGTCTTTTTCCGGCGGCTTTAACCACCGGAAACATTGACGAAAGGACCATATATGGGCAGAAACACAATTGTCATGTACCAAAAGTGATCAAAGTCAAATACGTGGACCAATTGTGGAATTGGTGCGATATTCCGAGGACCAAAAGTGGAATTTATTCTATTAAAGAACAAGGAGAAGAATATTGCAGTACGCTTTTTTATTGTAGATCAAAGGGGAGTAGAAGATATAATGCATATAGAGGAAAAGTGTGAAAAATTTAATTAACACTAAACATACATGAAATTTATAAAATACACGCCCACCTACAAAGCTAGCAGTTTTCTTTTGTTGTGTTGTAATCTAGTATAAACAAGATATGATGCTCAAGAGAGTATCACAATGTTATTCAATCATTGCGTTAAACTAATTGATTAAAAACCTGAACAGATGTTAACATGGTGTCATTTTCCAAGAAAGGAAAACAAAGATCCTTACCCCAAAGGAAACAGATTCATCAGAACTGAGCTGGCGACGGTCATAGTCAATGTCATCCCCTCCTTCTTCCCAACATTCCTTCCTCAACAACGGCTCCCCCTTAGGAGATTTGAACCTCTCCTTTCTCTTCCTCCAAGGAAGAATACTAATGCCACGTTGTTGCAAAACCACTGGCTCGGAGGCTTGTGAGATCCAACGGTCCACATTCGCCGACCACCCAATGTCTGATCTGCTATTGCTGTAGTAAACCCAACCCTCATCCTCACCGTCAATCCGTGTTGATGATACTGCATAATTGGCATATGGCAATGTGCCATAACTAAACGAATTCCTAACAGGAGAATCTTCTTGTCCCTTTCTTTCATCTGATTCTTCCCCTTCCTCGAACCCATCAAGTGACTCAGAGTCAATAGAAGGGTATGCGTAATCAGATCTGCAGTCACTGATATCTTCCTCCCGACATGGTTTTTTTGCTCTCCTCACAGACACATAATCTGTGAGGATCTTTACTTTTCTAAGACCGGCTTTAAGGGCAGAAAGCTCATCCTTCTCTACTGATGATGATGGTATCTCTCCAGGTGGCTGAGGAGGTGATGTTATGGGCTTCTCCACCAATTCAGTAGGCTCTTGTGGAGCTATCAGTTCCAATAAACATAGAGATATCTGCGGGATAGATCAAGCAGAAGATTTAGGCTCCCTTTGGTTGACTTAGCCGGTTTTTCTTATCATCACAATAAAACAATAGGTAGATTTTGAATTGATGACCATTTGGTAAACACTTCTTTGGATTATCAGCCTTATAGCAATTTTTTGTAAACATTAATTTATTTGGCAAGGTTCGCTGAATTGGTTCATAATGAAAAAATGTACGGATGGAACTCTAGGAGGTACTTTGAGGGCCGAAGTTGCCAAATGTGACCATTTTAGTTCTATTTCATATATATACATATATATTCTTTATTTATTTATTGTATAAGTAAAATAAAACTTATTTTTTCCCTGAAATTGCCCAATTTCAGAAACTTCATCAATACAAAACAAAAAGATAAAAAAGAGCAGAAAAATCATCCTTACCAAAAGGGTGCTTACTTATTTGGTTGGTAAAGATGTAACCAGATGCTTTTCCTTTCAGAAAATCCAGCAGATTCAACTCTTATTTAGATACCACAAAGGAGCAATTTTCAAACAGATTGAAAAGAATGTGTGCTATGTTAGGAATGGTACATACACAAAGAATAGGACGAGACTCTGATGCATTCCCAGAAATTGCTAGTGGGATCTTCAAGTTGAACTCTTTCCCCTCCTCTGTCTTGGCAGCAAATTCAGCAAGGTTTAAGACTGCTGTTCCAACAGTATGAAGCTTATTCTTCGAACCTTGGTTTGACTCCTGAATTGTAAATCACAACCAAAACAAGGCTCAGCAAACCCAGACATTCCATGTCGGCATAAAATGTACTCCCTTCTTCCTATTTATCTGTCACAGTTAACCACTTTATTTGTTCTATTTTATCCCTCCATTCTTAGGAGGAACATAAATAGGATAGTGGTGTTCAATGAGAGCATTTAAGGTAAAATATGCTTTAAAAGTGGTTAATTTATAACCCCACTACATTTTTTAAAACCGGTAGATGGTCAAACATGGCCAATATATACAGATAAATAAGAGCATGCTAAGTATTACAGAAGAATATGCTCTCAATGTTGGAACATGGAAAAATGTTTCAGAACCACAAGCAGCAAGCATTAGATGAAACACATTTAAATGGTTTCTCCATTTCGGTTAAGCAGGACATCCAGAGTTCAACCTGCACTAGGAACAAAATATGTAGAAAAAATCCATGCTACTCATCTGCACATTCTTCATAAGTTTTGTCACACCTTTCAAGTTTCAACCGGCTCATGCTGTGGTGCATATGATCCTAGTCTGTACATACTGTGGCGAAATCTTGTGGTAAAAGAAAGTTTAAAAAATACAATTAAAAGGCTAGAAAAGGAATGTGGAAGTACTAGTGACAACGGCACTCGCTTCCCATTTTATAAGCACTCGAAAAGAGACTGATCATGCAGATCAAATACATACAAGAGAAAATTCCGACTAAAACATATGAAAAATGAAAAATAGGATCACTGTTGTTTTTATCTAAAATAGAACTCATTCACACCTATTTGACAAAGTTCTATACTTTGATCAATTAAATCCTATTTTGGGAATAAAACATATACTCTCCTATATGCCTATTTTAGTCTTATTTGAAGCAATTTCTTAGACAAGCAATTCGAGAGATATAGATAAACTTTACCATTTTCATTTACATCAGTAAATAAATGAAAGTTAGAATTCGGAAGTGAAAAAAAACAGGGTGAAGAAAATTAGCTCACATTGAAAAACACAGTGAAGCTGATCTCCCAGGGATGAAACGCGTTATCCCTGTACCCAGACAGGTTACACACGTTTTGAAACTCGTCTTCCCACTCCACAAGAACGGCGCCATCTTGTCCATTCTTGACCCCTTCTTCTTTGGTGCAGTTCCTCTTCACTGTTCTTCTGAAGGACCTCAAAGCCGCCTTGGGTGGGCCCTTCCATCCGATCTCAACGGAAGCGCAGCCAGACAATGTGGCAACTTCACCCAACCACTGTTCTCCAACGCCGAGATTCTCGAGTCTCCTAATGACAAGCCTCACATCAATTCTTTTGGAAATTAACGGCGGCCATGGACGCCACTTCATCATCTTCGCCACCATTTACGGCATCTAGAGAGAGAGACCTCGGGGAATTTGGCTATTGTCTTTCCTCGGATGGGTTCGATGTACACTGGAAACTTGTGAAGTGTTTTTTTTTTCCTTTTTCTTTTAGCTTTTTAAGATTTTCCCATCTCAAGGAGATGTTGGGTGGAGATGATATAATAGGCCGTTAAGATTCTGGAGACAGGTGTCGGATAGTGATAGACCGAGCACAATTGCTGGGTGCTCCCGAGAACAATTTGACTCACGTTTTATGAAAAAACTTAATTTCACGCATAAAAAATAAAAAGTTATTGATGAACACTTTGTCGTAGTGCGTCAAAATAAATTCGATACTAACACTTATATGTAGTATAGTGAAGTAGAGTTCATATCCACAGGGAAAGGAATAATTCTCTTTTAAATGAAACTAGTAATTAAAGGGGAGTTTGGGGTTGAATGATTTATAGAAATTGTTCTAAATAGGAGCAAAAACATTTTGAAATTCCAAAATAGGAGTATCATGTTTTTTATTCCCTAAATAGGAGTAATCTGCCAAGTTTGGAAAAAAAGGCCATGTTTTAAAGTCTAGTAATGCCAAACTTGGCAGAAATTTACTCTTATTCAAGGAATAAAAAACATGATAGTCCTATTTTGGAATTTCAAAACTTTTTTACTCCTATTTAGGGAATTCTCTCAATGATTTAATTTAATTAAACGCTAAAATTAACAACTTATATGTGATTTAATTCAAAGATAAAAAGAACTTGGCTTTGCTACTTTGCACTTGTTGATATATTTAGTCGATCCTTGTTATATCTATAACTTATCCCCCTCGAATACTCAATCTAAGGGTACATCCAATTCATCGAGGGTAGTTATTAACAACGACCGTTCATTAACAACACCGTATATCGATTTAATAGTAACATTTAGAGGCTGTTTGGTAACACTGTTTATCGGCTTATCAGGCTTATCAGCCAACTTTTTCACCAAACACGTAACTTTTCCTTTCGTGCGCTGAATTGTGTAATAAGCAGAAAAAGTAAGGTTGAAGTTACTTTTCTGGCTGTATTGGCTGAAGTTATTGTAGATGACCATTTTAGCTATTTTTACATATAATTTCTTCTTTATTTTATTCATAAAATATATTTTAAAAGTATTTTTTTCTTAAATCAGCAGAATCAGCCAATGCAGGCACTTCAGCCAGAACTTCATAAAATTCAGCAGAATCAGCCAAATCAGCCGATTTTCGTGCTACCAAACGGGCTCTTAATCTTTTTAACTCCTTGATGAAATCAATTGAAATTGATAACCTTAAAACAACCGTTTTGGTTTAACCACGACCGTGTATTAATAAATCGAAGTTATTTACCTGTGAAACCATCAACGATTAACCATCGGTTCGTTGATCGTTTCTAGTAATAATTAGAGAGAATTCCCTAAATAAGAGTAAAAAAGTTTTGAAATTCCAAAATAGGAGTATCATGTTTTTTATTCTTTGAATAGGAGTAAATTTCTGCCAAATTTAGCATTACTAGGCTTTAAAACATGGCATTTTTTTCAAACCTGGTAGATTACTTCTATTGAGGGAATAAAAAACATGATACTCCTATTTTGGAATTTCAAAACGTTTTTGCTCCTATTTAGAGAAATTTCTATAATAATTAATGTCGAAGCGTTAACTAATCGTCACTTAGCAACACCCCAACATTAATATAGAAAAGAGATTAAGGGAAGAATTAATATTCAAGAAGAGAAGTTAAGAAAATAACTCACAACTTTAATAATCAACAAGCTTCAAAAGCAAAACCAAGAAATGTAAATTTAGCTCCTCATTTGGAGACTAAACATGCTAGAAAAATATAAAGAAATGTTATTCTAAACTGAGCTTAAGAGTATAGAAGAAGGAATGAAATTTAGTGAAGAAAAGGTGTGCTATTTATAGGTGTTTTTCAACACTTTTGGCCGGGTACCCGAATGGGTATGGTGCCCACCCGACCGCGTACCAGTCAAAATCAGATCATTCTCCATGTTCTTGTATTTCAGCACGTCGAATTTGTCCCAGGTCACTTCTCACCCGACCAGGTGAGTTACCTTACCCGACCGGGTGAGTGTTGTTTCCAGGCACCTTCAATTTTCACTTCTTACCCGATCAGGTGAAGTGATTTACCCAACTGGGTAAGTCCTCCTGGGTAATATTCTTCATGGTTTCCCTTCTTTTCCTCACCAACAACTTTACCAATACTTCCCAACTTACAAATGAAAGTTAAAAAGCCTAAAATACAATTACAAGTTAAAATCTTACAAATGTTGACAAACAAAATAATAATGGTAAGCAATCCACACAAATAAAACATAAAAACATACATTTATGCACTACTAATTAGTGCATATCAAACATCCCCACACTTGAACTTTTACTCATCTCGAGTAAAACAAATCATGTCAATGCAGTCCTCCAAATGATAATAGGATCAACACAACAATCCAAGAATATTTTAAGAACAAAGTAATTACAAACCATCCCCAAAAGTGAATAGAGAAAAAAAGGGGTCTTCAACTTCATCTTTATCTCTAGTCAGAATCTTAATTGCAGAAAGTAAATGACACTGAGTTTCTTATAGCGGTTCAAGGAACAACGTGTTCCGCTAATCCACTGTTCCACTAAGCTTGTAAAACACCAGTTGCAACGCCTTAGTCCCTAGTACTTAAGAAGCTCTCCTTGTCTTTTTCAAGACTAGTTGCCACTCGGGATGCAGTCCTTGCTTCCTGATGGCTGATCTCGTTTCACTGAGTCTCTTCAAGTATCCCCACTTCACTACTCCATCTAGTTTGAGACGTTCCTTCTTTTGCAAGAAGTGTTTGCGTGAAAGACAGTTTTCTCCAACGTTGCTTCATCACAAAGGATGTGTAGATGAGGCTTTTGAAGTGTTGAAGAACTGGAGGAACGATTCTCTCACGTTGGAAAGAAAAGATATGAAGTTTATAATCTTTTCCAACGTTAAGTTTTGTTGCTTTTGATGAATGGAGGTTTTAGCCTTTGAGCATTTGAATATTAGCACTTAGAGAGATAGATTCAATCCTTGTTCATTCCTTGGAGTTCCAGTCCTTCGAAGTGTATCTTATATACTGGGAGCAGTCTTCCCGTTGGAGGTTAGAAGACAGCTTCATTTAATGCTTGTACTGTTGATTTGACCTGTTGGTTCTTGACTTGCTATTTTGGGGGTGAGAAGATATCCGCATGGTCAATCATCAGCTTTAAATATCTCAACGTACGACCTGCATTAATTGTGAATTTAATGCGTGAACAGTACCATGTTCTTTTGAGAGGCTCCTAGCCGTTAGCGAATCTTCCGTTAGTTTAACCGGCTCATGTAGCTTGACCGAAAACTTTCTAAGTGTAGAGCAGTTCTGGTGGAAACAGCAGAGAGCAGTTCTGTTGAAATCTTGGTCTTCAATCTCTGTTGCATCTCTGGTCAAGACAGAAACCCTTGAGGTTCTCTATCCGTCGACTATGCTAAAACTTACATAGAAGATTTTCTGATGCGAGGTTTTCTAAAGGGGGTACTTTAATATTCTAACTAATCTAGCATCATCAAAATCTAAGTACAATTATTCCTTACACTTTTAGTCAACAAAGCACACACCAAACACTTAGAGTAAGAAAGCTAGCTGCCAACAGTAACCTAAGCAGTTGCCTTACATTACCCCACTGCTCAGCCCACTGCCCATATACTTACTTTCTTTGAAACATCTTAACATCACAAGATCCACATAACATCATTACAAAGAAGTTTGTTCAAACAGATTTTTGAGAATCAGCCTGTAACTCAGCAGGTGCCTCAGCAGTTCCCTGCTGACCACCCAACTGCCCAGACCACTGCTCTCATAAACCTTTACTTCAACTCAGTTCAACACATTTCCAGAAAGCTCTCATCATTCTGAATAAGATTATACAATCAGCTTTCTCATACTTTCATTTTTCCTTAAGCAGTTGACTCAGCAGTTTCCTAGTGACCACCCAACTGCTCAGACCACTGCTCTCATAAACTTCCATTTTAACTCATCTCAGAAGGAGATCTCCCTCGAGGTCTTGAGAGGTCTGCCCTCAAAGTGGGATATGAAGGTTACTGCTATGCGAGATAGCAGAGATCTCAGAAGTCTTTCAACTGATAAACTTTTCAGTGATGAACTTTCAACTGATCTTAAAGCCTATGAGTTTGAGATGAAATAAATCAAGGATGAAAAGGAAGAAGAATCCAAGACACTAGCTCTAGTGTCTAAACCAAGCACATCAAATTCTATTGAGAAATCCATCAACAACCTCCTCACTGATGAACAATTTTCAAAATTTGTGAGGAAGTTCAAAAAGTTTATGAAAAAGGAGGCATCTGCCCTAAAGAAATTGTACAATCTGCCCCCCAGAAGATAAGGGAAACCTCAATCCAGTGAGGATACTGTCCTATGCTACAACTGTAGACAACCAGGATACTACAAAAATGAGTGCCCTCTTCCATTGGCACACAAATATCAAGGGCAGCAGACAACTGCTCAAAAAGCTGGATATAAGAAGGACTTCAAAGGTAAACGTCAAACCTTTGTTAGTGAAAAGAAGAAGGAGAACTCCTACAGTGATGAAGAAAGCAGCTTAAGTGAAGAAGCTCTTCATCTGAAAGCTCAGAAGAAGCACTACTCTGCCTTGGAGCTTGGTAGGTTACTGAAAAGGACAGCAGCCGGCTCCAAGAGCCTACCACCAATGAAAGGCAAACTGATGAAGGAAACTGCTCACTTAGATGCTTTATGGCAGATGACCACTCCAATGATGTTGAGGTAACATCCTGCTCTTCCTATAGCTCTAGTGATTCTGGACCAACAAACATTACACTGGAATCCCTACTACAAGACTTCCAAAAGGTCCAAAATCACCATGTTCTCTTAATATCAGAAAATGATAGATTAAAACAAGACATTAAGGTTATTCATGCTAAGCTCTTAGATGCCTTAACCCGAAACAGAGTCTTAAAAGAAGAGAACAATGAGCTGAAAAATAATCTTAGCAAGGATAGTAAAACTTTTTACCCTACTGTTGAGGTTATTCCAAATAGGAAGAGAAGAGGTCTTGGTTACATATCCCCCACAAGAAATACTCAAAACTCCCCATCCACAAGCCACCAAAA